GCTTATCGCCGACGTTTTTCGACGCGTCTTTTGTGTTCATACCCAAGCGATTTTCGCTGCCAATGAGCCGACTGAACGTGCAAATTCACTCCCTGACATTAGATGGCGCTTAATGAAAAACAGAAATACCCCGGTACACATCGAATCCTATTTGATCTGCAATTCCTCTCCATAACAACTCCATCTTATCGAGATTTTTGTAGTCGCTGTCGCGTTTGTCATAAAGCCCTTTGTGTTCAGACACCAATGAGACCAGCAGCTCTACATTCATCTTGCCTCGATGCATCTTCTTTGTTTACTTACTTCCTCTTCGTCGTTAGGTATCAATGTGTGCTCGACAAGAATGTTTTGTGCTTGAGTGCCACCAAGTCGTGTTTTACTGTAACTTCAGCAGCTCCAGGCATGTGAACAGAAGCGCCAATCTCATTGGTCGGCCAGTTTTTAACACGGCGCGTCAAACGAAAACAAAAAGAAGCCTGAGGAGTTTTTTTTTTTAAATGACGCTTTTACGCCTCGCGTTTTGCGCGTCGGTGTGCACACTCACATCAGCGCCCTTTGTTTAGTCACGAGGCATTAAACATCGGCGGTAATCGCGCACGATAATCGTCCCGGTGTGCACAAGCCTTAAAACTAAAAACAATTCAGATGACTAAAATATGACTAAAACTAAATGGCATTTTAGTCAAAAGACTATGACTAAAACTAAATCAAAATTTGCTGTCAAAATTAACACTGCATGTTTTTTAAATATATTTTTCAAGTACCATTTACCAATATCATGAGTTATTTATTTATAAATATTACATTTTTGAGTCACACTACATTTACAACCAGAATTAACTTTGCAGTGTCATAAAATGGACAAATTATCATATTATAATTTTAAGAAACCAATTTGACTTTAACACACACTCATGCATGTCTGCAGTTTTTCTTTCTATGACTATATTTACATTCACAATGTTCTGAAGCATGTGCAAACGTGACCATTATTTTCCTACATTTCCACAAAAGAAATTGTGGCAAATGTGTGCAAAGTTTAGCAACCTTGAACCCGACATGAAATCTGAGTGGCCTGATTCTTTGCCACAGAAAGTCCATCACATCATTACACAATGCTGAGGTGATAAAAAGGTATGCAAATGCTGCTATCAAGTCTTAAATAGATTTCTTGCAATAGTGCCTTTTTCTTCCCCCACGTTAATTGACATGACTTCAGCTGGCAATAGTTTTTCTATTAATATTTGTATTTTTAATATTTTAACAAAACTTCACTGTTTTTTTCTTAAAAAAATAATGAGGAACATAATAAATAATAATAATAATAATAATAATAATAATAATAATAATAATAATAAAAGATTATGTGAAACAAAAATTTAAGACTTTCATTTAATGAGGTTTTTCTTCATTAAGATAAGAAAACTTTTTTCGGGTGAGGGGCATATTAAAAATTAATTTTAATTCAGAAACTAAAAACATATAAAATAAAAGTACTCAATCAACTGTATGCGGGTCAAAGACGAAAAAGGGTTTAAGTATAAAAACAACACTGCTTTAAGTTGTTGTTTTTTCCCCCAAAAAATTAAAAAATTAAAAAGTTTTCTGTTTCATGTAATTGTATTTTTGTTTTTTTCTGAGCAAAAAATAAATATCATACATTTTCCCCTGATTTACAGAAGACACCCACTAAAATGTCATTCAGTGTAACAATAGTTCATATACCAAAATATTTTGTCAGGCATCTTTAGAACAAGAAACATTAGGTGGCATTAAAATAAATGACATAATTTAAGGATCACAGTGAGTGCAGCTACCAAAACTCCTTCAAACAAAGTTTCTAATCATTTAAAATATAGTAAAATGTAGTAGTAACAATCTTGTGAGGCATTTTTACAACAAAAATCAATTTAGGACATATTAAAAGACTAATTACTTTCACCCCAAATACTAATTAGTTGTTATTTTACATTTTTTAAATGTGCCACTATCCTAGGTTTTGCCCATTTGTCAGTGATATTTTTTTACTAATTTAAAACACAATCAAATTGAATATGCTCACTTATTCTTTTATATATTTTAATATGTTCAGGTCAAAATAAGCATGTTGTTAGAATTTTTACATAACTATAAGTGTTACACTGAATTGACAATGGAACATTATTTCAAAAAATGTTGACATTTTATTCTTCAAAAACTTATTTGAAACCTTAAATGCAGACACTTTACTTGCATTTAATGTGCTTTCTATGGACATAAAATAACTTTTGTAAATTTCTTTTGATGCGGACATCTTAACGTCTTTGACCCATGCATAAATTGCATTTTCTGTATTTTGAATAAACATTTTCATTTGTAATTTCAAAAGTAATTAAAAAATCTGTTATTCACTGATAATCTTTCACTCTACCGAAGTTATGAATTCTCACCTGCACTGAGAATAAAAAATGTTTTAAAAAGTTTGAATGAAGAATGAGATCTGAGAACGGCAGCAGGAAAAGAAAAATGACTTTAATTTGGGTCTGTTTGTCAAACAAAGCTATACGGCTTCAGAACAGTCAAATATTACAGACAAGTGGTGCAGATGGCTTTAACGATACTTCTATGGCGGTTCTTTTTGCAGCTTCAAAGCTGTAGTCACCAAGTCGTATTGGAAAAGAGTTAAGTGAAGATTCTTCAAAAACTCTTATTTTGTGTTTAACAGGAAAAAAATAACAAAAATAGTCAGCCAAAAAATAGCATCATACAGCTTTGAAACAACAATTTCTATATTTAGGTAAACTATTCCTTAAAGTAAAATGGAAAGGCCACCCTTCATTGGCTTGAAACATAGATGAAAACGTCCTCAGTGAAGGCAGTTTACCTTGTGGTGCAGAGCTCGCAGGAGTCAACTGCTCTATTCTACTTCCTCTCCTTCCTTGTCTGCTTTTCTTGAATTCAGCCAAACAAGAGTACGATCTGAAAACAAAAGGGTCAATGGGTTAAAAATTAGCCACTTTTTCCAAGTTACATCTTCTGACATTGAAATGCAGTGGAAAATTACAGCCCCTGGACGCCTTGCATGGAAAATCCCTACATTTATTGCACAAAAGGGGGAAAGGCCGGCTTCTGAAAATTTCCATGAAAATTCTATTCTTAGATTAGAAACAGTTGGAGGGCAGACTGTGGGTTTTTGTTTGAGGAGCAAATCCTGACCAAAACAGGCCTGATTCCACAATATTCAGCTGAATACTACTTCGCCAAAGCATTTACAACTCCAATAAAACCACCGCGTGAAAAAAAAAAAAAAGAGCATTAAAAATGCAGTATATCTGCTGCTTTGACACCTCCATAGTGATGTTGTTCCCTTAACAAAGCTGAGTCTCTGTGTTTTCAGATTTGAAAGGGAAAAAAAATATATCATTTTTGGAATTTATGTGGCTCCAAAGTTCTGAGAGCATAATGAAAACATGGGACTTTTTCCCTCTTGTAAACCTAGCTAGCAATAACGTTTTACGTTTCATAATAAAAAGTTATGATTTCTAATAGGCTACAACAAAATCTGAATTTGCAAAAACTTGTGGAGTCCATCCTGTAATTAAAGAAAACGGGAAAATAACAAATACTAAGAAATTCATATACCTTTTCCAATTCAACTTTTCTTAAATCGTTATGCCGATAATATAATTTGTACTGAACTTGGCTGAATTTGGAATGAATCTTGTATTAAATTCTAAAAATGCACAAGTAGCATTTCCTTCTCTTTTGGAGGCCACTGAAAATATATTTAGTTTTTGACATTTGTTCATTAAAGGGATAGTTCACCTAAAAATAAAATAATAATGAAAATGCCATTTACTCACTGTCATGTTGTTTCAAACCTGCATGACTTGCTATCTTTTGTGGAACAAAAATATCTAATTTTATGTCCATACAATCAATGTCAATGGGGTCCAAAGTTGTTTTGGAACGTTTTGTGCCCCACAGAAAAAGAGTTAGTCATACAGGAATGACATGAGGATGAGTACATGTAGGGCTGGGCGATATAGCTAAAAAAAATATCAACGATATAATGTTTCATATCGTTCGGTATCGATAATTATTTACATGTTTTATAACTTTTTTTATTTTATTTAACCAAATATTTTTAAATGAACCCAATTTATTGAGACAAACAACAATTTTTTTGTTTGTTTTAACAGTCAAACACACAATAAACATTTTACAAATATCTAATTTCTAATGTTTTATATGCAGATTAAATAGGTTTTAAGGAAACGTTTGTCTTGTCTCCCGAGGCCTCAGGAGGGCGCAATGAGCAAAATAATACAGCACATAATGTCAACGCATGGAAATAGCGGTCTATAAAAAAAAACGTGCATTACGTCTAAATTAACTCATATAAATCAAATATAATTTCGTAAATTGCATAAACAATTATGAACAAAACAGCATCATGTATTTATGCATTGCTTAAT